TCAGTTTTGTGAGCAAAAGTTGACCAATCATCAGTTGACATATTGACATATTGAAAGGAGACCTTTTTTACAGGAGTCCTGGATGTTGAAGATACAATTTCTGGAATAAAAAAGGAAGTTGTAGCTATTGCATGATCAGATAGATTATAGTCTATGTCGATTGTAGTTGCATCTTGTAGATCAGTTGTTAGACCTGTCGAACAGAAAATGTGATCAATTCTTGAAGAAGTAAGACATATATTGTTATAGAAAGTGAGGAAGTCCAAATTAGCATTCTCATGAAGAAGATTACATGTGTTAAAATATTTGCATTATCCAATTGATCAAAAAATCTATTAGAGTTGGATGGATTAATAGATTGATTCGGTACTGTGTTGAAGTCGTCTAAAAGTATAATATCCATATTATTCAATCGTGCTTGGTTGAGAAGTTTAGTGACTGCGTCGAAGGTATTATTACGAAGTGTGAAATTAGAACTAAAAATATAACAATTAATGATGCGAAGTTGATATTTGTTACGAAATTGGAGGTCAATATAAATATATCATCCTAAACCACCATTACTAGCATAAATGTGATCAGCTAGATGTTTTTTAATAATAATTCCTATACCAAAGCCAGATTTTTGTATGTTTTATTTATGGTTGAGAAAAATCTTATAATTAGAATCAAGAATATTGGATAAAAATTTGTTGGAGATTGTAATGAGATCAATTTCTTGAATACCTATAATATCTAAATGATGGAGAAGGTAAAGTTAGACTAAAATTTGTTGTTTAAATTGTTGGGTAAAAGAATGAACATTATGTGTAGCTGTTTTTAAAATGTGTATAATTATTAAGATTATCTACTGGTGGAATATCATTTACATTTTGATTCGTATCAGTTGTATTATTCATTAATTAAAGTTGTTTTGGTGGTAGTAGAGCTTCATAATTTTTGTCATCATAGAATGAAGACGACGCCAGTTTCACAAGTTCCATAATAGGAATCAGCCTATCTTGAGGCATCATTTCACGGTAGACAAGCATTCTTTGCATTTGAGCTACTGTAGCAAAGACGTTATTGAGTTTGTCGAAATTGATACTTAAGTTTTGTTTGAGAATAGAGTTTTCTAATTGGAGCTCAGTAACCTGTGCTTCCTGTTAACGGATAATGGATTTTGAGATGTCAATTTCAGCAGTAATAACGTCATTCTGATCAAAGTCTTTGTCCATCTCATCAATTGGGTCTTTTAGTGGATTAGAGTTGATAATCTTTGCTTGTTCAGGTGAGATAGAAGAGATGTTAAGTACTGCTTCAATCGTATTAACTCTAGTAAGAGTAAAAGCGAGATTGTTATGTATATCAGCGAGCTGTTGAGAAACATTGTTGATTTGTGTTAGAATGGTATCAAGTTGTGATAGTTGGTATTTGTTCTGGTGATGAACGATATCTTTTTCTGTTTCGTCAGCCCAAGATTCAGACGCATGAATACTGTCATCTAATTAATAGTCCTTATTATTGAATGTAATATAATTAGGAACTTCTTTGAGGAATGGTTTATTTTCAGAACAGGTGATAGTTTGGTAAAATCATCATCAGTTAATTGTACAATATGGGCAAAGAAGGAACCATTTGGGTCAGGTATTATATTGTATAAATCCACCTTTGTTACTGTTGTTACGGTTGTTAGTAGAAGGTTTTGAAGTAGGTTTTGATTTGATTGGAAGAGCAGAGTAATTTTTGAATTGAGTGGGTTGATAGCGTTAGTAAAGATTTTGAAGTTGCCAATCTTTTAGGGATGTACGTTTGCGTTTACAATTATAAGATATATGACCTGAGGCTGAACAAATAAAACACAATTTTTAGCTGGGATCTATTCAGGTAAGCCTTTTTCTATCAAGATAAATGGAGTCTCCTTCTTTGACCAAGTCAAGGGTTTCTTAGTCCGAAAAGTATATGACTGCATATTGAAGATTTCTATAGGACGCTTTTGATTTGGGAATGACCTATGCCATAGCATGAACAGCATAACCTATTTCTTTTAGTTGTCGTCCAATGGTATCCACTGGAAGGTTGGTGAATTTTAAGGAGAATTTTGATTTGAGACAGACCTCTTCGTTGAAAAAGACACATAGATGTATGCGGACTATGTCTTTAAGAACAAAAATTTATGGTAATCATTAAATTGAGACATATCAGTACCTGTGACGAAAGTAATTGTGGCTTGTTGCAACAAAATTTTAGTGATCATGGTACAATGTGCGATGATACCAAAAAAGGCAAATGATAATCTGATGTTAGATTTCGTTATTGTGATCAGAATTTCAGTAACTTTGATAGACATTTCAGGGGTGAATCTCGTAGGTGGTGTAACATTTAGTGATAAAACGTGGTATTTTCAGCTTTTTGGGAGAAAAATATCTGCTGTGCAAAAGGCGAAAAAGATGGGTACTCCAGTTTCGCGTTCGAAGTGAAGAGCATTATTTCCATTATTTTTGTCTAGCATATTTTCAGCAACGTTAAAGGACTGGTCGCAGTCTAAAGGTTCTTTATTAACCAGTGAAATAATA